TAATTCGTAGTAGGTTGAGTCACTAGAGGCATTAGAGAGCGATTAGACAAATGCAAACAAGTATAGATAGACAAATTATATCTATCTATCTAATATCTACCTTCCTAGTCCAATCTAATAATATCTTAGTTTAACAACAATATAAAGAGAATTATTTTTTTGGTTTTGGAATAGTTTTCGATCTTATAAAATTATATTTTATTATATTTATTATATATTTTATTACTTTCTCTTAGTATTATAGAATGAATATAGATGAAGGCTATTTGTCTCTAGTTGATAATTCTGATTTAAATGTGAAATACTCCCAACTCTTAGCTACTTCCAGGACTTCCGCTGCACTAAACTCATTTAAAATTCCTAAATTGATCTCTCAAATCATAGAAAACTTTTTTATTCAGCACTCATCGGTGCTGGGTATCTTCTAGTCGAGCACAGGCAACTATAGTCACTCAAAGTTGATATTATAAAAATAATATAACATTCTCTATATGATATAAACTAAGTCTATTCAAATGCCTATCACGTTTAGCAACAAAGTTGGCTTAGATTTCAGCTTAAGCAACTGCGAGAGTTCTTAGGAATATTATGCTAATATTAAACAGAAGTAGATTTACTATAAGCAGGTAAAGATATATCAGTCAATCAATGTTGACTTAGGAAGTAGAAATACGTACACTCGCTTGGCTTTTGAATTGGGATTTTTCCCGTAAGGCGTAATTATTCCACACGAATGGACGGACGGACAGCCGGACGGATAGATGGAGGTACAGACGGACAGACAGTCGGACAGACAGTCGGATAGACAGACTGACAGACAGACGGACGGATAGACTGAGGGACAGATGGATGGACAGATGGATGGACAGACGGACGGAGGCACAGACGGATGAACAGACGGACGAATGAACAGACGGATGGATACACGGATGAACAGGCAGTCAGACTGATAGGACTAGATTCACCTGCCTGCTGATCCTCATCAGGAATATAAATACTTAATGAGATCTGCCACGCCTCCTTCTGCCATTTACATACATTTCAACAAATCGAACCCGATTTCCAACCTCTATTGGTTCAAGAGTAACTTTTGATTTGATTTGAAACTTTCCTCAATCACATCAAATGTCACAAATATTGCATTGATTTAATTAAATTGCATATCTTCGGACATCTACTCTACTATTGAAATAGATGAAACATCATCAGCTGCTGCTGGAGTCTTCCAATTGGCCCAAGATCAGTTAGACAAAGACGCTTAATCAAGCCCAAGATTTAGCTCAGCTTCGATCTCTCCCTCTTTTTTTTATGGGTTTCTGCTCTTGAAAGTATTAAGTGGATAAATATCTAGAATAAATGCTCTCGAGCATATCTAGATGCCGCGGGGCAGACACTCGACTCGCTGGGAAGCGGAGGTCTGCGGGAGGATGGCCACATTAAATTGACCTCAATCGTTATATAAAGCTATAAAGCCGCACAAATTGGCCAAGTCCGAATTTGTTCTTGATTTCATTTTAATTGTTTTCTAATTGCTTGACGACTTTCTAGCAAACAGGCGGAGCAGGGCCCGGCTCTGGCCACGTGCCGGGCGTGCAGCTCATCAATATAGTATTTATATAGAAGATATTGACCGGTTTAGCTGCATGACAAGCAGCTGACAAGGGGTTGGGTGTACTTTATGGCTCTCTGTGTGTGTGTGCCAAAAAAAACTAGTCTACAAAGCGCGCCACATGACACTGACCTCACCTACTAACGGAACCAGCAGCAGCAGCAGCAGCAGCAGCGGCGGCAGCAGCGGCAGCTTGGGCAAACGAGGAGCAGACACACGATCTGCGAGTTGAACCCCAACCGGCTCAGCTTGGTTGAACTGACGAAAAAAGCAAGAAAAAAAAACAAGTTTATCCACATCCCCAACAGACAACGTCTCAAAGGCAGCCTCATGAACTTTGCTTTAGCTTTGCTTTTTTCTCGTTTTTTTTTCTTTTTTTTGGTGTCTTTTTTTTATCAAACAATAACTGGCAGTGGCAGTGGACGTGCCACCTGAACCGGGTTCCAGTGCCAGGCAGGGAGTGGGGGCGGGGCTCGCCTGGGCCAGTGCCTGCTGCCTGCTGCCTGGTTTGTTGTGGCTGAACCAGAAAGTCAGCATCAGCAACTTCTGGATTAGGTCAAGGATTGGCGGCACATGACTTGTAGCTGTTGTTGTTGTTTGGAACTACCTACCGGTACCTGTTCTAAAAAAAAAACACCAACTACAGCGGCAGCAACTTGTTGTTGTTGCCTCTTGCTGTTTGTTTGTTTCGTTTCGCTTTGTTGTTGTTATCAAACATGTTTTTTTTTGCGTGAGATTCTGGAATTGAAACTGAAATCGAAACTGAAAACGAAACAGAAACAGAAACCGTTAAAAAGTTAAACAAACTGGACTATTCCATTCACAGTTGAGTCTGCCGCTGCCGCTGCCGTTGCCGCAGCCGTTGCTAACTTTAATGCCGCTTTTACTGTAAACAAAACAAAACACAAATAAGCTAATGCTGCCAGCGTTGACTGCGCTGCCAGCTGCGCCGCTGCCGCTCTCTTCTTGCTCTTCTTCTTTCCACCTGTTGTTGATGTGATGAGTTATGCAGTTACACGTTTGACATTTGCGAAGGAGTCAAACTAGTTCGACGGGCACGTGTGCACAGCTTTTGTTTGCCCGTCCCTCTGCCAGCACTTGCCCTCTCGCCCTGCCTCTCGCTCGCACTCCCTTTGGCCCGCCGGCTAACCCCTGCTGCCACTGCCCTCCCACTTGCTTCGTTACTGTTTCGGTTTTCTGTGTTTATGTTTGTTTGCATGTTTGTTCGTTCAACTCAGACAACAACAACAACAACAACAACAGCTCAGCGCATTATCGACTCATCGGGGAAACCGCAAACATTTGAACCCGTTCCACATTCCGTTAACGTTTAGTTAGTTAGTTAGTTTTTTGTTTTGTCAGAAGGCACGATCCACCCGGTCAAACAGGCCCAGTTTTTGTTAGAGTATAAATATCATTTACCTGAGTGTAATTGTTTATTGTTATAAATGAGATGAATGTGGCCGCTTGAACTGCTCCAGCATGGAACCTTATAAGGGCTGCCTCTATAAGGAGTAAGCCTAGCAGCTAGGTTTGCCATGGCTCTGCACATGCAGAGGCATATTATATATAAAAAATTGATGTGCAACATATTCACAACTTGTGACACTTTAGGCAACATTATAATAGACTTGAGCTTGGGTATTAAAGCTTAAATGAAATTTAAATTAAATTAAATTTAAGCTGCTGAGCTGAGACAAGAATGTTAGCTAAATAAACTATGTAATAATGTAGATTGATAACTGCATAGAAATCTGTTTTTCTAAAGCTGTGTCATTGCTCAATAGAAGTCTTAAAGATGAGCTTCTTCTAGAGTTATCAAAAATATCCGCTTCAAGCATTTGCACGCATAGCGAGAGCTCATTGAGAACTCAATGGAAATTCTGGCTAAAATCTTTTTGGTTTGAATATATAGAGCAACTAGAGTAAAACAATATGAAGATCATGCTGTAAATATATAGTATAGATCAGGAGCAAAGTTAGAGTCGCTTCAACGATGTCTATCTGTCTCTTCGCTTGTCTATCTGTAGCTCAAGCTTCAGAGCTAGAGCTAGAGCTAGAGCTGCACCTAGAGGGAGAGATCTGACAGTTAGAGGCATAGGCAGATGCATTGCTTCAATAGAAATAAATACTATTTAAGTGATCTTAATGCTAAGATTCTCAACTCTCGACTCTCAATTTCTGGGCACTCATACTAAAATTATTCATACTAAGATTCTGAATTATTATCGAAAACTCAGAGAGAATTTAAAATATTTAAAAATTTATTGGAATAAATAGCCATGGCTTATATTTATTATAATCAAATCTATATAGATGAGTAATACAAGCATTAAAGTCACTGTCAGTTCTTAGAGCATGAATCTCTAGAGTAGCAACTAACACAAAGTCCTTAGAGCATGGACCCCTAGAGTAGAAACTAACACAAAGTCCAAGGGATGCTTGCTCTAAGATCCCTAGAATAGGAACTTAGACAGACCGTGGGGAATGCATTTCCAATCTCAAATATGCTTTTAAAATATTTGTAGATTTCAAATACGTAGAATTCCTAAGCTTAAGCTTTAAAAGCTTTAAGCCAATCAAAAAGCTTTAAGCTAATATTAAAGAACAACAAAATTCTTGAAGATTTTTAATACAATTTTGCCAATTAAAACTTTTTGTTTTTGCTGTATATTAATTATTTCGTATTATAATTTTTATATAAATTTATATTAAATATTTTATATATATTATATATATTTATATTATATTTTAATATTAAAAAATATTTATTTTAATTTTGAATATTTTGTAATTTTATTTTTACTTTCTTTAATTGCAGTTAATTACAACGATAAAGGAGCTAATTGTTATCCAAGTTCCTTAGTGCCATAAACAAAGCAATATTGAAACAACAGCAACAACAACAACAACAACTACAACAACCACAACAACAACAACAACAAGTGCCTTCATTCATAACGCGATAGTGATATTATTAATGTTTATATACTCGTAACAAACAAAGCTTGCCACCAACAACAACACCAACAACAACAACAACAACAACAACAAACAACCTGCAACATTTCGAATGCCTTCGCCATTTGCCAGCTGCAACAACAACAACAACTCAAGTTCAAAGTTCAAAGTCTTCCACAAATTTGTTCATTAATTAAGTTCGCTTATCACACACACACACACACACATATATATATATATATATACATATATATATATATATGATGTCCACATCCACGGCCACAACGAGCGTCATCACGTCCAACAACGATCTATCGCTGTCCGCCCACGCACACGCCCATCAGCACGGCCACGCCCACGGGCATACGCACACACACTCGCTGCATCCGCACACGCACACACACACACATCGCCTGGGCGTCGTTGGGGGCGTGGGCGTGGGCGTCGGCGTTATCGGCGGCGTCGGTGTTGTGGGTGGCCATCTGAGCGACGCCTCACTGTCGCCCATCCAGCAGGGCGCCAACATCGTAGCCAGCAGCAACAGTTCGCCCCTGGGCCAGAACGGCGTGCCGCTCCTAACCACAATGCATCGATCGCCGGACAGTCCGCAGCCGGAGCTGGCGACCATGACGAACGTGAATGTCCTCGATCTGCACACGGACTCGGCCAAGCTGTACGACAAGGAGGCTGTCTTTATCTATGAGACGCCCAAGGTGGTGATGCCGCCGGACGGTGGTCCGGGCGGTGGCAACGGTGGCGGCGGTGCCGGCTCGAATGGCGGCCATGACGATGGCCAGGTGATAGATGCGCGCATTGCTGCACAAATGAGCACACAGCATCTGGCGGCGTCTAACCAGCAGCAACAGCAACAGCAACAGCAGCAGCAGCAGCAGCAGCAACAGCAGCAGCAGCAGGCGGAACACCAGCCGCTGGCCAAGATTGAGTTCGATGAGAATCAAATCATACGCGTTGTCGGCCCCAATGGCGAGCAGCAGCAGATCATTTCGCGGGAGATCATCAACGGCGAGCACCACATCCTCTCCAGAAACGAGGCTGGCGAGCACATACTCACGCGCATCGTCAGCGATCCGTCGAAGCTGATGCCGAACGACAATGCCGTGGCCACCGCCATGTACAATCAGGCCCAGAAGCTGAACAACGAGCATCAGGCGGTCTATCAGACCTCACCCCTGCCCCTGGATGCCTCGGTGCTGCACTATGGCAACGACAATGTGATCAAAACGGAGGCTGAGATCTACGAGGACCACAAGAAGCATGCAGCCGGCGTTGGCTCCATCATCTACACCAGCTCCGATCCGAATGGCGTCAATGTGAACGTCAAGCAGCTGCCGCACCTGACGGGCGTGCCACAGAAGCTCGACCCGGAACTATACCAGCCGGACAAGCACATCGATTTGATCTACAACGATGGCAGCAAGACTGTCATCTATTCCACCAGCGATCAGAAGGGCCTTGAGATCTACTCGGGCGGCGACATTGGCAGCCTCGTCTCAGACGGCCAAGTGGTGGTGCAGGCGGGTCTGCCCTATGCCACAACCACCAGCGGCACAGGACAACCAGTCTACATAGTGGCCGATGTCGAGGAGCATCTGCAGGGGTGAGTAAAGCGCCTAACTCTAGGAATACCTATAGATCTATATCTGTATTTAGAATATATATAAGATATATAGTATATAAGAAGTATATAAGAGATAGAGATAGAGATAGAGATAGAGATAGAGATAGAGATAGAGATAGAGATAGAGATAGAGATAGAGATAGAGATAGAGATAGAGATAGAGATAGAGATAGAGATAGAGATAGAGATAGAGATAGAGATAGAGATAGAGATAGAGATAGAGATAGAGATAGAGATAGAGATAGAGATAGAGATAGAGATAGAGATAGAGATAGAGATAGAGATAGAGATAGAGATAGAGATAGAGATAGAGATAGAGATAGAGATAGAGATAGAGATAGAGATAGAGATAGAGATAGAGATAGAGATAGAGATAGAGATAGAGATAGAGATAGAGATAGAGATAGAGATAGAGATAGAGATAGAGATAGAGATAGAGATAGAGATAGAGATAGAGATAGAGATAGAGATAGAGATAGAGATAGAGATAGAGATAGAGATAGAGATAGAGATAGAGATAGAGATAGAGATAGAGATAGAGATAGAGATAGAGATAGAGATAGAGATAGAGATAGAGATAGAGATAGAGATAGAGATAGAGATAGAGATAGAGATAGAGATAGAGATAGAGATAGAGATAGAGATAGAGATAGAGATAGAGATAGAGATAGAGATAGAGATAGAGATAGAGATAGAGATAGAGATAGAGATAGAGATAGAGATAGAGATAGAGATAGAGATAGAGATAGAGATAGAGATAGAGATAGAGATAGAGATAGAGATAGAGATAGAGATAGAGATAGAGATAGAGATAGAGATAGAGATAGAGATAGAGATAGAGATAGAGATAGAGATAGAGATAGAGATAGAGATAGAGATAGAGATAGAGATAGAGATAGAGATAGAGATAGAGATAGAGATAGAGATAGATAGAGATAGAGATAGAGATAGAGATAGAGATAGAGATAGAGATAGAGATAGAGATAGAGATAGAGATAGAGATAGAGATAGAGATAGAGATAGAGATAGAGATAGAGATAGAGATAGAGATAGATAGAGATAGAGATAGAGATAGAGATAGAGATAGAGATAGAGATAGAGATAGAGATAGAGATAGAGATAGAGATAGAGATAGAGATAGAGATAGAGATAGAGATAGAGATAGAGATAGAGATAGAGATAGAGATAGAGATAGAGATAGAGATAGAGATAGAGATAGATAGACATTTGTTGCTAGTTAAAATAGAGACATCTTTAGAAGATTGAATTTCAATTGCTGTCAATCGATATCGATATGCTGCAATCGATTGCTGATCGATATTTCGTCTTTTTTTGATTTGTTAATTAAACTTGCGGCTTGTTCGTGCCACGGCCCACATCTTATCATAAATCTTGGCTAATTGTCGCGCATACTTGGACCTTGCAACAGCAGCAGCCGTAGCAGCAGCAGCTGCAACAGCTGCGCCAACAGCTACAGCTACAGCAACAACAACAACAACTTCATTGACAACAGTTGTTGGTGGCATCGAAACGTCCTTTTGGCTTACAAAATGTTGCATCATTTGCATTTCTCATGCATTTGAATTAACCGCTGTCCGTTTTACTGTTAATTATTGCGATAGGCAACAAACACTAACAAGAGCAGCAGACAACAGCAACAGCAACAGCAACAGCAGCAACTAGCTGCAACGCCAGCGCAATTCCCCCTATTTTAGCCATGGCCCGAAACATTTCGCTGGCAATCCTCAGACCCCATTCCCAAGGCGAATGACAGCTTCCGTTGTAACTGTTTCTACTATACGTTATTGCAACAACAACAACAACAACAACAGCAACATCAGCAGCAGCAGCAACATCTGTGGCATTTGGCGTGCATCGAATCTGCAAGTAGGCGAGAGGCTAATAATACACAGCCAAAGAGTGAGCCGCAGCCTCCACGCGGATGTGCCACAGCCTCAACCTCGGCAACAGCGCCTGGCAATTCATTTTAGAGCAGCAGCAGCAGCAGCAGCGGCAGCAGCAGCCGCCATCATCATCATCGTCGTCGTCGCGCTTTTGGTATGCGCAAGTAATAAAAATTTGAATATAAATTAATCTAATAGAGAACCGTTACGGCTCGAATGTGCGCCGTGTGGCAAGCACCTCGAGCAAGGTGCTGCCTGCTGCCTGGCTGCAACACCAACTAAGTCATCGTCATCTGCATCTGCATGCCGCTGCAACAGCTTCGCCTTCTCCTTGAGCGTCGCCTTCTTCGTCTTGTTCTTGCTTCTAATGCCACGTCGATGGTCATCCTGTTATAGCGGAGGCAGCATACGTTGTTGCTGTTGCTGCCGCTGCTGCTGCAGCACACACCATGCATGTTGCATGCACGCCAAGGTCCATAAATAACGACAAAATTGCGTTTCCGCATATGGACGCTGGCCGGGACAACATGGACACCCCGGACTTCGGTTGGACTCGGCAGACGCCTCTGACGTTTGGCATGCTGTTTGACCAACGCGCTGGCCCCAAAGACGTTGATGGCAATGTCTTCTGGCACGCCTCGCCGCGCCTCGGCTCGTTGCATTCTAACAAATGCGCCACATTGACCACATTGGCTGGCACAACCTCTGCCACAGCTGCCTCCATCGTGCCTCCATCGCAGCTCCATCTCAATCGGCTTGCGTGTTGGTGTTTGCCTCGCATGTTGTACAGTTGGTTTTGGCCTTCCTTGATATGTAGTCGTTGCATTGGCAACAGTTCTTTCGGCTCTCTCTCTCTCTCTCTCTTCTCGAGTTGGAACACTTTTGGCGTATTGTGGTTGCCTAATTTCAATACCCTGTACTTTAAAGTGTGCATGTGGGGCATATTAGTGCTCTAGGTATTACGTCTGCAAGTTTCTTTCGATGTCTTTGCTCTCATTCAATTTGCTACTAATTAAATTGAAATTAGTGAACTGCGCATATACCCTGTAATTTATAAATTTGTGCTTTTATGCATAAATAATATATAAATAAATCATTCTATATATATTCTATATATTTAGGGAGCAGACTAAGTCAATTCATATGATACTCTATAATTTTTAACAGGGTATCTAGGGGTCGTTATGCAAAAATCCAACAAATTTCATAAGCATGCTCATCAGAAGCTCTCCTTATTGACACTTATATTTCTGTGCACTGCAAGCCCTTCGAAAACTTATTACAGGGTGTTTGCTAGTCGAAATTTGTTTCAGGAATTGTCATTTTATACAGGAATGAACTTAGAAACATAAATATTTAACGCAGTCTATGCTAAAGTGTAGTTTGAATTAAAGTGAAAACGTATTATAGGGTATTTAGTAGTCTATCATCAATTCTTATCAGACATCTGCCTGAATGTTTAAATTGCAAGCTTTCTATAGACAATTTTTAAGTTATTCTACTATTTTGACAGTTGCTTAGCATTACAGGGTATCTGTCAGTCGCTTTCAGCTGTTTCTTTTGCTTTTTAATTGACTTTAAGCCAGCTGCGTGTGACCTTTGTTGTTGTCGCTGTTGACGCTCTTTGCATTAACTGCAAATCCTTCGCCTGTCGCACCTTTCCATGTCCTACGAACCCTTTTGCCATGGATCGCATAAATAAGCCGCTTACATGCGACTACACTGTGCAGCAAAGTTAAGCTCCTCTCGCTCTCTGTTGCTCTTTCCCTGTGCCAGCTAATCTTGGAGCTTTGCAAGCTTGACGAAATGTCAAGGCATTGTGACGAAAGCTTCGACGATCGCCAGCGCCATCGCCATCGCCATCTCCAGCCAGCGGCATTTATTACACACATTATTCGGTTGAGTGCAAAGCAATGCACGATTATAAAGAAACATTGAATGGCTTTATTTATTGCTTAGGCGCCATAAAAAATGCACAAAAAAAACAACAAAAAACAAGACGATTTAACGGCCATTTTCATTAAAAGCAGCTTGTGCAACAGGCAGTCAGTCAGTCACATAGGCGGGCAGAAGACATAATGTCCATCATTTATATCTGTCTTAGAGACGATTTTACAATTCAATTAACGATCTAAATCAAAGTTCACCTGCCGTGTCGTGAGAGAGTGTAAAGTCCACTTTAAATAGAAGCTTAACTGTTCTCATCTCAAACATTTTCTTCAACTGAGCACAGCTAGATTAAAGAAGAGAAACAATTTTCAAGCAAGCATGATTACAAGATTTATTTTATATATACATTTAGATAAATAATATAAATAATTTGTATATATTCTTATATAAATAAAATAATAAATAAATAATAATAATAATAAATAAATAATAAATAATAATATAAAGCTTTACAGGACTAGAAATAAACTGTTCTCAGTGCTCATATTAAGTATTAACTGTACTCTATAGCGAGAGAGCTGTTGGTTTTCTGCATATTACTTTTAGAATAGTTAAATAAACTGTTCTCAGCTTGCTGTTCTCATATTTAAACTGTTCCCTATAGCATGAGAACAGCTTGCTTGCAGTTTATTTGTATCTAAACTAAATTAAATAAGGCTCTGCCCGCATATTTGAACTGCTCTCTACAAAGTGGGAACAGTTGCTTTTCTGAGAACAGTTTTAATAATGATATATATATATATGTATTAACATATATTGCCTGCATATAAACACGAAATTGAATTATAAGCTTTACAAAATTGTATTTGATTTATTGCCTGCTTTTGTTGTGCAGTGTATCTTAATTTGTCATGCGGAAACCACAGAAAATTGTGTTAAAATGAATTGCACTTTATGAAATTTCCATATACTCGTATGCCTGTCTGCCTGCCTATCTACATATATAAGGATGCCCTTCACGATAGCCTTCCTTGTGAGGCGTTCGCGGTCATACAAACACACACACACACACACGCGCGCGCACACGGAGAGATATACACTCAGTGTGTGTCCGGCAGGCACACCTCATTTATTTACTTACTTTCACTTTAGTGTTCATATTAAATTTCCGAGCTGCAAAACATT